ATTGTTAACACTTAGAGTTTAAGATTGAAGAAACCAGGGAGAACCTCTAAGCACACTTATAGGAACTAGAGTCTAGACATATGCTAGAGCAAAAGGTATTCCAGACTCAGTTCCAAGAACTGAAATCAGAGTATGAAACTGAGCAAAGGGAACAAAGCACTGTTCAAAGTAAGCTTGATAAAACTATACACTTGTATTGAGTAGCCTGTAAGGCCTTTGTTGTTAATAATGAATTTGTACTCATTTAGCCTAGTACAAGTCTCTTAGTCAACAAGGTCTGCTAGCACAGAAAAGGGCTAGGACATAACTCTGAACACTGATGAACTTGTGTTAGTAAAACCAAGTTTGTTATTATTCACCTCTTTTGTTCCCTTCACACTCACACTACTATCTTAGAAATCATTCATACACATTGATTCCTTGTGTCCATTTGTACTTGTACCAAGTTAATACTTTGAGTAATTGTCCATAGATCACCTCAGTTCTACTATCTAGAGTAAAGTATATTAACTATGAAATTGGATGTACTGTGGAACAATCCTGCCAGACACCTGTAGTCAACATCCTAGCTTTGACTGCTACTATCTTTAATACTCTGTTACACATATAGATTTTGTAACAGTATTCTAGCAAACTTTATTCACATGTGTAGATAATAAACAGCCTGCTAGAGTAACATACACAAGGTTCTGCTTTGATAGCAAGTTTCTAATACAAGTTAGAATACAATCCAAATTCAATTGCCTCCTATTGTATTCTGAGTGTCATACTCCATATAATGGAGAAGATGTGTTGAATAAACAGGCACAGTAGTCAAAAGCAAAGTGAACATCTTTAGTTCAGATTAAAGTTAAAACTATGAAAGATATGTAAAGGACACATGAAGTCATGAACCAAGGTTGAACTTGTAATAAAATCAACACTTTTTAGTACATCTTTCAGCCCTCCTTATCTCATCATACTGTGTAATGAGACACCTGCTTTGGACAAGCTTACTCTATTGAATGACTTGGTCAAATTGCTTAGTGTTGAGAATCAGCACCTGAAACACAAGCTGTAAGAAGCTCAGCAAAGAGTAGGTAATACTGAGGCAAAACTAGCTTCTGTGACTGTCAAGGTCTGTACTAAATATATACTAGCTATGTCTGTAGATCAATGCCCTGATCTTTTATTTCTATAAGAAAGAGGCTGAGGACTTGTCTGAGTAGCTTACTGTTACTAGCTAGGTATACAAAGTACTGGAAGAAAAGAATGTACTCAAGACACATTTCTAGGAACTGGAGGCCAGTCATGAAAGGGAGAAAGAGGCACTCTATACACATATTCAAGAGCTATAGTACAAGCACAAGAAAGAGAAAGAGACTCTCTAAATGTGTTGTCAAGATTTGGAGCACAAGCATGTGAAAGAGAAAGAGACCCTCTAGAGGCATTGTCATAACCTTGAGGCAAACCACAAAAGGGAGAAAGAAGTCCTCAAACTCTGTTGTCAGGGGCTCTAATTGAAATACAAAAAGGAGAAAGAGTCCTTCCAAACATGCTTTCAGGAAGTGGAATCAAGACACAAAAAGGAGAAGGAGTCCATTCAAACACACTATTGTGAACTTGAGTTGAAGGGAATCAAGGAGCAAAAGGCATTGTAAGGATGACTCTGGGAACTCAAAGTCAAATACAACTTGAAGAAGGAGAAAAAAGAACAAAGCACTGTTCAAACTCAACAAGGCCACAGCAGGTATGGTAGACAATGTGAAAAGCTCAGTAAGTATGTTCATGACTAGACTGTGGTTTTGTACTTATTAAGCCTAGCCTGAGTATCTCAAACTGCAAAAGTAGCAAAGGGTGACACAGGGTAAGCTCAATTGGATAAATAAAGTGAGTTCTGATAGTAGCTATGACTTCTACTGCTCAAATTTTCGTTTAGAGAGTTGAAGGACTCTTGTACAAAGTAGACACAAATAGCAAGGTGGATGATACAATGTTCAAGACAGTGCTGGTGAGTAGTTTGCCATGCATCCCTTTGTGCTTACTCATTGTATCATGTTACTACAAAGCATAATAATCCTTAGACCTTTATATCCAAGCTTTACAGTCAGAGGTCTCAAACAGGCCTGATACAACTCAGACCAGTCATGAAGTCAAATGAAGGACTTGAATGTCAAGAGGACTTTACTTGTGTATGTACATGTATTCACCTTTACCTATCCTTCACTGTATCTCTTGATCTGACAACTACTTTTCAGTTGTAGAAGGCAGGTGAACTATCACAGTGAGTTGCTTGTTCACTAATAAAATTAGAATCTTTGACTCAGTATAGTTTAGTTCAACAACATACCCAATTGAATATTTGCCCGAATGTATGCTATGGAGCAAGGATCATCCTGGATTAGGACTTGATAGATATTTTACCCTTAACAATATGGATTCGTTCAGTCATCACGAAAAAGTCTTAACAGTTGTATTAGATTATAACCTAGTATATTTTTTACTTTTTGTAAATTTTGTAAAAGTGATAATAACTTAGATAGTGGTTTTCACAAGTCAATTATAATTTAGTACAAGTAAAGCAAGAATCCAGAATAGTTATTAAAATTACTGATATTAATTATAATTGTACATATTGTCAAGATATACAAGTGATTATAACATACCTCCTGAAATAATAATGTTAGAATATACTTATCAAATTTTAACAGTATAGTATCCTCTTACAATTTATACCAGTCATTACAAGCATTTGAATAGCTTGTTTTGGCTTTGCTTACAAATTTGTATTAAATAATTAATAAAATATAATTATATTTGATTATAGAATACAAAAAGATAGTAAATAATACATTATTTCTACAATCCCGATCCCTGCACCACCAGCAGCCTCTGTCTCGTTCTTTTGTGAGTGGAGTTTGTGTCAATAAAGGATTAATGTGTTCTGGGCTGTTCGACGTAGTCTTCGTCACAAGGCTTGATTGTTGCTCAGTCCCTGCAAGTA